GTGGAGCTTCAATCACACAGTTGAAGCTACCCTTTTGTTGTTTTTAAAAATCCCCTAAAGATGGTAATGTGTAACAAAATGCTTAAACAAGTTTCCTATTATTATTGTTACTTTACTCACTAATACTGTATAATACTGTATATATGTATAATACTATATATGTGTTCCTTGGAACCAGTAGATGTTTTAAATAGTTGAAAAACATAATTAATACTGCAACATAATATGGATCATGATATAAAGTTCTGCAATTTACACCACCAATGCATAGTTGAGATTAATCCCAAATAAAGAAGAAATACACATGCACACAAATGTAGGGATACATTCCAAGTAAACAATAGAAAGGGCTTGAAATACTTTGGAAAACACCTATTGTAATGTAGATTCATTTTATGATTTTCAAGTAAGATTTGTAGCCTATAAAACAGGGATAAAAGAAAACTGACAGATGAAGGATAGAAAAAAGTGCAATAATTTTTACTATTTTTAGATTTCAGATATGAAAAAGGCTGTTATAGTATTCATTTTTGCCACACTTATCATTCAGACTCAACCACTTACGTTATGTGTCAGGTGAAATGAATTCTGAATTTACAAATTTATTCAGCATTTAAAATTCAAGCACCAAATGTTCATGTGTGTGTTTTTCCTCACTAGTTAGTATAACTCAGTTCTAGCTATAAGAATTATATATTGCCCGCACTCTTGTTCCTGGCCAATGTAACTAATTGCCCCCATTGGTTATTATGCTCCTTTGGGGTGAAGAGAAAGAGAAAACACAGTATTCTGAAGATGTTACTGACTAATAGACAGTGATGTTTATTTCCTATCCCCTCCCTTAAGAAACAACTATAACCCTTAGAGATCTACCAATAACAGATCAAGATTGGCCAAAACCAGTATTTCTCAAATTCAATAATTTTAGGATATGTGGACTTCAACTCCCAGAATTCCCCAATTAGACATCCATACATTTTAAAGTTGCTGAAGTGGGGAAACATTGATCGAGACATATAGATTCATGGAAGTTTCATGAAGTTCATGGTCTGTTGTCAATTTAAGTAGGAAAAACCATTTAGATTGGTTTTGTTTTTGTTTTACCAAGAAAGATTAGCATTAGATTATTTAAAACATGAGTTGAGAATAAGATGAGATCTATTTCAAAGGATCAAAAGCAACATCAGGATTGCTAGGTGATTCTAGTATCAAAATAAACTGTAAGGAGGAAAGGTCATAACAAAAATCTATGAATCTGAATCTTTGTTGTGGTTTTAAATCAATTGGTATTCAAGGCAGGCTTTACAAATACTCTGCTTACAAAATGAGCATGGGATTGTTGTTTTAGTGACATACTTTACTAACCTGGACCATATAGGCAGATTTTGGATCTTAGCAATGATGAAGCTGGCTGGGAAATTCTGGGACTTGGTCCATTTATTTAGAGGGCACCTAGACTGGGTGTACAATTTACTACTTTGGCACAAAAGAATTGCCCTGTCTCTGTACTCTGGGAAAGCATGGGGCACATTTTGTTGTAATAGTTTAATGCTGCTAAAGGGTGTTAGGTAGTGAACTGTCTGGTTGATCTACCGCAGGGTTTTTTTCTTGTTGCTGTTGGGTTGTAAGGAGCAAAGGAAATATTTCTTGGCTAATGATAATTCCACATCCAGAAAATATATAATCTTAAGAACAGCTAAAATATCATCCTAATGATCACTTGGCAAGGTTTCTAGAGATCTGATAAGATTCTATGGAAATTCAATACCAACACCAATGTAGAATAAAATTAATTCCATACAAATGAGAATTTAAAAAATAAAAAGGGGAAAACTTTCCATAAATTCTCCCTTTCCCATCAGAAAAACATCCCTTTTTGTTTCATTGTTTGTCTTTATTTTTACGGATCTGATTATTTTCTTTTTATAGCCTAAGCAATGATCAAAATCAGACAATGTAGTCACTTCTAGTATATTTTAGAATCACCATTCCTACATTCACTTTTGCTTTACCCCTTATTAAAAGGAGATAATTTTAGACAAGGTGTAATGACTCTTTTAATGCTATTTATTAAATTTATATGCTGCTAATCTCAATTATAAAATAAACTGTATTCATAGGAAAGGCCAGCCTTATCTTTTAGCAAAATGAAACAATTGTTTTCAATCATAGAACAAGAGTGGTCATGAATTGTGTCCAAGCCCCCATATAATGCTTTGCTTATCTGCTCTTTAAACCATTCTTCATTGCATATGAATTTCATACCTTTTACCATGCATGAAATTGATATTGCTTGTCCAGAGTCTGAACAGGATCTGTAGCTGATGCTGACACAATCCATGGAGGCTCATTAGGTTAGCTTTCAGACTTAATGTTTGATTCACAAAACATATGCTTGCCTACTTGGTTCTTAGAACTTACTTTCTAATTACGTGTATAGAGGGCTGCATTTTAAGAATTGCCAATTAGGCTATAGAGTTCTTCATCTGACACTTTTTAGTAGCAGGTGTCACTGAAAAGTGCAGGCTTTATTGCCTAGCAAATATCTTTCAGAAATAAATTGGAAGAATCCATCAATTTAGTTTGCATGCACAATGTAATTTTTGTAACAGCCTGAGAATTCAATACACACACACACGCGCGCACACACACACACACACACACACACACACACACACACACACACACACATCTTGGTGAATTGTTTCCCTTAAAATATGTCATTTTGAGATGTTTGAGCCAGGAACTGCTTGACAAAATCTATTGAAGTATGCAGTCCAAAGAATAACTGTCATCTGATTCATGTATATTAGTTTGTGGACTGTGGTTCAGTTAAAAATGCAGACCAATCAAAGTTGTTTTCTGTCTCTCTCTCTGTCACTCTTTCTCTTTCTCTCTGCAAAAGCTTGCATTTGTGCTGATTTTTTATTTTATTTTAATGTAACAAGTTAGATTGCCACGTTAACTCCAAATCCTAAACATATGGTATAGAAACAACTAATGGAATAAAATGATTCTTTTGTTCCATTGATATTGTATTTACAGATAGGAATATGAGGCAAAGGTTGAATTTCTTAGTAAATAAATAAAATATATAATTAAAGCCCAATTCTGTATTTTTTTCCCCAAGTTTTATGTAGTTTTCAAAAATGACTTGTGGTTTATCAAGTTTGTAAAATAAGTGTTCTGCCTGAAGGCCTTTCATATCAGATTTCCTCTTTATAAGAATGTTTACAGCCGTTTATAAGAATGTTTATATGACTTTTCTATATTCTCCATATTAGTAGGTTTATTATCATGAAAAGAGCAACAAACCCGGTAATAAACAGCAATCATTATCTGTGCAATATTTTTTTTTGACTCTTCTTTGGCAAACTAGATAAAAGTTTGGACTTAAAGGTCTTTCTTTCCATGAAAAGGAGTTCTTTAATTAAAAGAAATATGTTCTATCTGAAAGAGAATTTTGGGATCCAATTCAATATTCCTTAAAGATATAGGATTTGATTTACAATTTGGCTCCTTTCAATATTATCTTTGAATGGACCAGGTTAAATAAAGCATATCTATAAGGCAAAGGTAAAGACAATTTTTTCATAAGATGATTTAGAAATTGATATAAATATTGGCTTTTAGCACCTATTGACCTTTGCAAGATATTTTTTTCCTTGAGTTGAGCCATTCTGAATTTCATTGGGTCAAACTGCAGCTGGAATACATAACAAAAGAAATCAGTCATGTCCTACATTTGTGGGGCTGCTTAGCAGTTTAGAGGACTGCTTACATCCTTCTATTGCTAGCTGTCAACCTGACATGGCTGTTTATTCTATGAGCAAATGGAGATATTAAAGAAAATGCACTGGCTGCCCTTAGTAACAAATTTTGGCTGTTCAGAAGCATTCACAAGGCTCTATCTAAACTAAAAAATATAAGCCAATCTTAAATGTTTACATGGGATGACAAGCTAAATATCCCAAAAGAACCATGTTTTCTCAGATGGAGAATGCTCTGGTCCTTCAGACATTTGGTAGCCTCTTCAGATATATCTTGTTCATTGAAAGCAAATAGCAAATGGAAAGAGAATCAGAATTACAATGAGTAAGCTGCCCAGTTGAGGCATAATACTTAGAAACACATCTAAAGTCCAAGGGACCATTGTGCGTGCTGGAGAATGTACATACTCTAAATATAGTTGTATAATGTGTATACATTTACAGTGTGAGCATAATTCTGCTTTGGATTGGACACACATGGAAACCTGATGTAAAAAAACGTTCTTGACCCATGAATATCCAAGGGAGGTGGGGAGGGGGAGAAGAGGGGAAGAAGTTAAATCTTCATTTATCATGCCAAGTGTTTGATGTTATATATTCAACCACTCAGTTTTCACACACTCTCAAATGAAAATCTGTATCTTCCTTAATTTTTATTTCTTGGTGTGTGTGTGTGTGTGTGTGAGAGAGAGAGAGAGAGAGAGAGGGAGAAAGGGGGAGAGAGAGAGAGAGAGAGGGAGGGAGAGAGGGGGGGAGAGAGAGAACATGTTAATACTGTTCATCCAATAACAATTTGCATTTAAAAAACTTTATAGTTGTAAAAAAAATCTGTTCTTCAATTAAAAAGAAAAACCTCACAATGAAAAAGGAACGTTTTCCTCTGTCCATTTAAAATGTGCAAGTATGCAGCGCAAAGACATGCACACACAGAAAGAATTTAAATTTGTATATAATTTTGTCCCCAAACCATTTTTATTCTGTTAATGAATAGAAAGGAAGTCAACATTCTATTCCCATCTGCTCTGATCCCATTAATTATCTCCATCTTTCAGCTGAGGAAATCTGCATTTTTAAAGAGCCTCTGGTTAGACGGAAAGAAGAATTTAACGTCTCACAAGACGGGACCTTGATCAGCAGAGGACAATCTTTCTTCTTCATTCAATCCCTAAATCTATGAGATGAATATTTCTACCTAAACATGATGAAGAAAAATTCAGAAGTTCCCGCCTTATTCCAAGTCTTTTCTTTTCCTCAATCAAGACTGTCCAATTTTTTCGTTCTAACCCAGACCTCACTCCTTTGCTTTTGAAAGACCTCCCCACGTCTTTAAATTCCACCCTTTACATTTCCTGAACTTGTTCCCTGAAAGTCAGTTGTCTGATCGTCCTACCAACCTCTTTGAAAAGCGTCTGAAGCGCTCCATTGTCGTCTCTCCCCCTAAAATTACACCTCAGTAGAACCAACCTGGCAAGCATTACAATACCCATCACCGCCCAGGCTTATTAGAGATGATAAACGCCATAGTCCACTTCCTCCGGAGGGACACGAGATCCGGGAAATGCGAATAAGAAGAGAGGAGAGGACGCCCTAACCGCCCTTCTCAGTCGCAGCGCTCGTGTCAGGTGTCCCTTTTCTCCATCCTTGGATGCAGCCATTTGTCCCACCAGCTGCCTTGTTCAGCCCGGCATTTTAGCTAGCTTGGTCGCCTTCCAGAAGCTCAGTCATAAAGGAGATGTAGACGATCGCCAGGCGCAAGGTCTCGATCCTGGAGAGACGCTTCTCGTAGGCAAATGTAGGGACTTTCCTCCTCAGCTGCTCAAAGGCTTCGTTGAGGTTGAACATCCTCTTCCTCTCCCGGACGTTGGCTGCCTGGCGCTGCGTGGAGGTGATGATCCGTTTTCTTTTGGGCCTGCCCAGGAAAGCAGCTCGTCTCACCACCCGTCCCTCTTCTTCCTCCTCCTCCTCTTCCTCCATCTCGGCTTCTCTTCCTTCCAAAGCCAGCAGTCCTTCCACAGCGGACAAAGGTCTTTGGCCCAAGGATGCCACCGAGGTAGAACAAGTATAGAGATCCACGCAAGGAATCTCCCCGGCGGACCGATCCTCAGTCAAATTGGCCAGCAAATCGAGCATGGTCGGGGGCACAGATATCGCTTGGTGCTGGGCCATTTGCTGGCCTTGGTATAGAAGAAGCTCATGCATGAATGAGGGACGCTGGTTGGGGTTGGCGATCCCTTACCCCACACGCGTTCCTTTGGTGCCCATCTCAGTCCGAAGTGCGGTGGGGCCATTTATATTTATTCCTTCCCCTCCCCCTCTCCATAGCGGGGTGTGGATGTGGGAGAGGTTGCCTAGTTTGGAAAAGGAGAAGCGATGTCAGGCTATCGGAGAGACCGGCCTGTGCCCAGGAGAATCGTCGGCGAGGACATCTCCTTGGCCAACAGGATTAGGGCCAGGTCCTTCTTGGCAAGCCACTGCGCTGCCACCTGTGGCGGGGCACTTTCTTTTGCATCTGCGGCCGCGACCAAAAGATTTTCCCTCCTGGATGGAGCTGGACATGGGGTAGGGTGGCGGCGGGGGTGGGAAGAGAAACTTTTTCAATTGATGTCAGACAAGCGCAGGGATGATTTTAATGATGTCTTGAAGAGGGACCCCGCATGCCAAGGGTCGCGGGGGAATGTTTGTCCCGTATCCCAGCGCAATGGGAGATGAATGACAAGGGCCTCCGCTGCCTAAGTAAGCAGTGGGGCGGGCGGCATGGGGGGGGGGACGGGGGGGCGGGGGAGGACAGAAGAGACGCGAACTTCCATTCCTAAGAGTAACTCTTGGAATCATCCACATCCAAAACCGATTTTCTGTCAGGAGTGTGCAAATATCTACCCAGCGGGGCAGGCAAACACCGCTTTGCAAAGGAAGGGAGAAAATAGCTCTCATGGCTGGGAGATGGCATTTAGGAGTCAGCCCTGTACAAAAAGAATGGCGATAGTAATAAAATAAAGACAAGGTCAGCCGCGTTTTTCTCATTCTAATAACAGAGCTTCACACACACACACACACACACACACACACACACACACACACACACACAGACACACACAGACGAAAGGATTGATGTTGCATTTTTCAGTTCGACTGCAATTTAATATTGAAGACTTTTATCCTCTTCTTTTAAAAGTTTTTGGATTTTTTTGAGATAAAAAATGACCTTTAGGAATACAATTCTTTAATAATACCAATTAATTAGAGTTATAACTTGTCTTTCTTGCAGATACAGTGTGGCTTACACAGCCCTCAGCTTCAAGAAAATGGGAGAACTGGAATTAAATAGGGAAATCGAAGTCCCATTACACCAGACTAGGGGAAGCCTTATTCACTGGGTGCCTGCCCACTTTAAATTACTGTAAGATATTTACATAGTACTATTATAATTGTATTTTAATTCTTTTTTCCCAATTAATCTCGATTGTAACATGAGATTAATTGGGAAAAAAGAATTAAAATACAATTATAATAGTACTATGTAAATATCTTACAGTAATTTAAAGTTGATTGTTACAATCATGGTAAAATACATTTGAAGTTTGCTGGTCCATACAAGTGTTTTTGAGCAAACTTTCAGCTTTCTTTTAAAGCATGAATCCGTTTAAGTTGCATATTAAGTCTCTTGCTTTCTCCTGTTAAAAAGAAAAGGAAAAGGAAAAGCAGTTTTCTCTGCCTCTACACCCAAAACATCATAATTGGCATGGTTCTTATTTGGCTCTAGGTCAGTAAACATTCCTCTCTCTATTTGTTATACCCATTTGTAACAGCTGCTGCAAATCAATCAGCCTTGGCTGTGGAAAACCAAGTGTGATTATTAGTTCTCGATGCCTTTTAAAGGACAAGTCAGACCTCTCTTTCTTCACTCCTGTTCTTATTCTTTGAAAAGCAAGCAATCCGGTTCAAGTCGGACACAGACAATCTGAGGGCATGGAGAATAATCGTATAAACGGGAGTTAGCATCTTTTATGAAACCAGGGGATACAAAGTTTAAGCACATTGGACAGCTCCCGGAACTCAGAATCATCCAAGGCGGATGCTTCAGGTAAACAACAGTTGTACCGCAACAGGGTTCATTATTTTGTCTCCCTGTCTTCCTTTTTTATTTAATCTTGCAGGCAGAACCATAGCTTTTGCAGCATTTTGTTGGCACAGATATCAAAAAAGAAAATGTAATCAGATCAGGTCATATATATTGTTGAGTTGAATTGATAGCTGTAGGGGTTGTATTCATTAAAATTTATGCCATTAATTTTGTAGCACAGGTTTACAAAGATTCATTTCTCTGTCATTCATTTTGCATCATGAGGCACAATCAATATGTAAGTTTAGAACAAAACTTCAGTGTATTCAGTGATATTTTCTTCCCTGTAAATATATATATGGGACAGCAGGCTGGTTTCTGTAAAACAGGCAGTTAGGTAGATAGTGTGCTGGCAGAGTAGAGGATCACATCTAGGGAAAGACTGAAATATGGAATTGTTTACAATCTTCTGTCTATTGCTTCCTGTTTCTAAATTATTTTCTTTAAAACAATATAACACATTGTTTTAATTATTTCTAAATCACATTGGAAATTAATTCAATAGAAAGATAGAGCATGAATACTTTAAACTAATAAATATTTGCTTTGTTGACTGATTTCAGTGATCTATAAGTAATCACCATCTATTTTTATATATGCTATTTGCTATTTTTCTATCCAATTTGAACAGCTGATACCATAAACCAGGATGATATATGGTCCTTATTTATTTCACCAAACTAAAGATTGTTCTTATGCAGTTGCAGTAATGTTGAAATGAATGGTTTATAACATAATCCTACACAGAAATAGTTTGCACAGTAAATTGAGAATGAATAGATTTAGGATGTTTTAATTATGTTGGCTGGAATCATGCAGATATTAACTGTTAGGTCTACAAAGGCTATCCATTATTATTTATTTAAAACATTTGTATTCTGCTTCCCATTAAAAATATCAATCAAGTTTTCACATTTATATTTATAGAATGTTCTTTATAATAGTTGATAGCTACAATTCTTGGTAGTAGTTGATAGCTACAGTTTATTCAGTCAGGCAAAAGTAATTCTGTCTTCCGAAAAGAATGGAATTATCTCTATTCCCAGTAGCTACAATCCAGAATGGCATTTTAATAGAAATTCTAGATGCCCTATACTATTTATCTAGTTTGAATATTCAGAAATTCAAAGAAAAAAAAGATCTGTGTTAGGGTTTGTATCCAAATAAGGATATATATGGTCTCAGTCCAGTGACTGAGAAACTTGAGTGGTATGTGTTTTAATTCCACTGATTAGGAAACATGGATAGTATTATATTTTTGTATCTATGTCTTTCTTGTGGGTTTTCCTTAGATACTAGTTAATCAATTTGGAACTGAGATGTTTTGATTACTCTCCTGGATAACTTTTATGAGGACCAGGTTGAGGGCAGTTTAAATCTGCTGGTCATTTTAGATCACTAAATAGATTCTGATACCATTGGATTGGACTGGCATCTGCATGTTTGGACTTTTTTCTCCAGTCTTTGCCACCCCAGATTACAAATCTTTGAATATAAAAACTCTTCATGCTCTCATAAAGGTAAAAATCTTTATGGTCTCTTCATCTCAGGAAGAGAGGAAAGTCAAGATGCTTCAAGTGGCAGTGCTGCAGAATGGTTTCCCGAGGAAGATTAGATTACCTCACTTCTTGATCACTTTGAGAAGGATACTAAACCTTGATTTTCCTGGGGATTGTTCCAGTGATTTTCACTTACTGTGCCATCTATTACTTTTTATTTTGCTTTTGTATACATTATTGTCAACTGTTTAAATAAAGATTAGTCTCTCTTTTATGTTTTTTGCATTGTAATCTTATTATAATTATTTTAATATTTTTCATTTCATATCTTGTCTGAACATCATGATATTATGGTAAAATATAAATTAATGAATGAATCAATAAATGGATAAATAAATAAATAAATAAATGTAGCAGAGCCTTTGACTTGATTCAGTACATTTTGTTCTCATTTTTAGTATCTTTCAAGATCACCAAATCTAGTTTTCGCCATCTACTTAACAAGGCAACAATTTAAAACTTTTTTTTAAAACCAAGTCCACAGTGGAGGATATACTTCTAAAAGTATATAGGACTAGCTCAAAGAAATGGATAGCGATAACAGAGGTTGAATAGGGTTTAGATTAATTTAATTTATTCTATTACATTACATGTAAGCAGCATCCAACCTATTGTGACTTTCTTCAGAATAAATACGCATATAATTTTTCTGCCAAAAGTTTGAATTTGACTTTGAAAGAATTGTCACCTTTGATTACAGTTGTACATTTCTATTCTGTTTTCTGAGTAAAAACGTAATTTTGTGTAATAGTTGTGGAAAACACTGAAAGAAATTTTTGATGTATCTACATCTTTATATCAAATACAGTTTTAGCATCAAACCTGCTTAGTATTTTCATATTAGCCAAGAAAAGCTATTTTCTTGGCAAGGAGATTAATTGCAAATATGCTTACTCTACATGGACCTATTAAAGAAATATATCATTTTTGAATTAGTGCCAAAGAGGAAGCATTGAATCTGAATGCAAGTACAAAATGCAGCCAATTCCCTCCACCTCACAATTCCTTCCACCTCAGCACAATCTTTTCAGATTTATCAAGTGGAACAGGAATGGCTCTTGAGTTTTCTGCTTTGTTTTTCCATTTTATCCTCCTGTCAAACTTTTCTTTTAAATTTTACCTTTTAAATGTTAAGATTGGCTCACTGTTTCTCTCTTTTTCTGTCCACAGATTGAAAGGCTGGAGGAAAGGGATGTCTCAATTTCCTTCATTCTGCTTCTTAACGTTCTCCCAAGCTGAGATTAGAATATGTAATGGATGTTTTGTTTATCTATATAACAAGAGATACAAATGTGTTTGTGTGTGTGTGTGTGTGTGTGTGTGTGTGTGTGTGTACATGTGCATAACTGAGTGAAAAACAGGCAGCATGGAGGTAGATGGACGAATGATCTAATATTATATAAAGCAGCTTCCATGTGCAAGTATGAGGAAGGAGACAGAAATAAAAAGAGAAAGAATTTCAATGTAAATTGAGCAATGTAAGGCAGAATTTCCAAACAATAAGAACTCATATTTGCTGGATGTATTTAAGCAGAACTGAAGTCAGCTGTCAAGGCAAGGTTATATTAGATCAGGGGCCTCTAACTTGTGACCATGGGCAGCAGGTGGTCCTCCAGGTCATGATCTCAGCTGAATGTTCTACATTTGTCTTTTAGACTGAAAAGAAAGTGCAGATGGGGCATGCCAGGGAACAGCTACCTTCCCACAGCAATATCCCTACATCAAAACTCAGCCACAGCCTGGACTAGAACTGGGCCAAGGCTGGTGAGAACAGTGGTGGCTGTAGGGAAGGCTCTGGCCTGTTTGGTGTAGCCTAAGTCCTTCACTCTTT